TAAATTTTGAAGTTTATAAAGGTTAAGATCTTAAAATTCACAAAATGAATGGTGTAGATTCGTTTTTAGAGGGGATTCATTTTGACCATTTCTAAAGTTCAAATTGAACTTTTTGTTTTTTGGAGATTAGTTATTGAGATAAAAGAGTGTATGTGCAAAATTTGGAATCATACAAGTACCACAAAGATAGTTTTCTAGAAGTGTCGCACTACACTATGATACAACCATTGGACCATTGCTCTTCTTTTGATAGTTCTTTTAATTTTAGTATATGTAATGGATTTTTTTCTCTTTTCTTTTTATTTTACCTTGTGTGTTAATTCAAGCTCATTGTAATCCTGTAATTCTAGTCCATCCATTTTTCTTCTCTAAGATGATTCTCTATCTCTCCATTTTTCTTCTTTTAGATAGGGGAAATTTATGCGCATATTCCCTAATTTTTTGTTATGTAAAAAAATTCCATTAGAACGATGTAACACTGGTACCCTTTTCTTTGATTTTTGTTGTTTTTTCCAAAATGCTGGTATTTCGACCTTTAAGATATGAGATCATGGGATTTTCTTTGGATCTTTTAAAGATTATGTTTTTATTTGATTTTGGATCTTGAAAATTTGAATTCTAAGACTTTATACAAAACATATAACCTAGCTTTATGTTGTGTACGGAGCCAAGATAAAACGGGAGACAAGAAAAAACATGAATCATGAAACAAAACATAAAGCAAGTGGTATGGTTTGTATTGCCTTCGTCGTCTTGAAGACTTGAAGTGATAAATTTAAGAGAACTTACATCAAATATTCAAGACGAAAGTCGCATAAATTATCTTGAGGATTTGAAGTAAGATTGCGACTGACTCAGGGCTTTGGTGGTAGAATTGTCGACCTTCGTGGTGACGTTTCACTTTATTCAAGGTGGTAGAATTGCCGAGCTTTGTGGTGAGGTCTCACTCTATTTAAAAGTACGGGCTCAAATCCCCCCTGACATATCACTTTTATCTACTAAAAATGGGAAAAAATAAAAAAAAGCCAAAAAAAAAAACACTTTTCTCTACCAAAAATGGAAAAAAATAAAAAGGTGTCAGCATAGGGGATTATTTGAACAACAAAAAATTATGGAAACTTGAGGCATTTTCCCTTAAGGTATTTCTCTTTCCCTCTCTCTCTCTCATTTTCCATCATCTACAGCACGGTTTGCTTTTCTCCAAGGAAGCTTCTGCTGTGCTTATCCCTTCTCGTGCAATAAAGACTAAGGTCAACCATTCATAAAGCATTATAATGAGTCTCTTACACGCAAACTGTATTCGATAATGAGATTTTCTAGAGAGAGAAAGTTCATATATACCGGCCAGAAGCGAAGGGTCGGCGCTGCACAGCACCGCCACCCCAACAGAAAGGTTCAAGAGAGAGAATAGTGCAAAGTTTGAAATATTCATATGTGAAAGAATGGGCCATTCCCCATTGAAATAGAGAGAGAGGCCCTCTTATTTTCTTATTCTAGAGAGGGAGACACTTTAGAGCGAGAGAGAGCTTCTTATGCCTGAAAAAGAGAGCCATTTTTTGAGCCAAGGGTTGGTGGACAAGCTAACAGATGCAATGAGAGAGAGAGAGAGAGAGAGATAACCCTTTCCAGCCAAGAGCCAACCTTCACAAGGAAATGGATCAAATAAAGAACAATCAAGAGAGAGAGAGAGAGAGAGAGAGAGAGAGAGAGGAGGGTACGTCTTACTTACACGAGGACGAAGAGAGAGAGAGAGAGAGAGAGAGAGGAGGAGGTAGTAGTATCGTTCGTTACTACGAACGACGACTAACGAACGAAACGGAAACGAAACCGAACGTACGGTACGTA